GCTCTCAAAAAGCCTCGTGCTAGGTAGGGATAGGAATATACATATAAGGCTTACAAGATCCACTCCCCTGGACGATGTGGGATGTTACAATCCACCCCCTTAGTGGCTTGACGTCCTCGTCGGCACACATCCGGCTAGGGATTGGCTCTAATACCAAATTGTCACATCCCGGTGTGAACACGAAAAGAAATTTCGATGTCTACACCCGGCCCAGGCCCCCACCACATCCCCAGCTCAACTCCTCCGTAGCACGATATTATCCACTTTGGGCCCTGCCCACGCCCTCACAGTTTTGTTTCTAGGAACTCTTCCCAGTGGGTCACCCATCATGGGAGTGCTCTCGCACACTACTTACTTAACTTCGGAGTTCCGATGGAACCCGAAGCCAATAAGCTCCCAAAAGGCCTCGTGCTAGGTAGGGATGGGAATATACATATAAGGCTTACATGATCCACTCCCTTAGGCGATGTGGGATGTTACATTTTATCATATATTTTTATTTTTATTTTGTACCGATTTTTAATTTGCAACCCTTTTTTAATTTGTACAAATTTTCTTTTCACTTTTAATTTGTACCCATATATTAATTTCTTTTTGTGCCCATATTTTTAAGTTTTATTTGTATTTGTACCCATTTTTAATTTTACTAAATGTACCCATGCAAATTATATGTATTTATTTTATGTTTTAAAATATATTTTTAAAGTATGTTAATAATTATGTGGGTACATTATTTTCTTTGCTATAATTTTGTGAAGAACAATATTATTCTAATATTTATTTTAAAGTATTTATTATATTTTAAAAATATTATTTGAATTTGTTTAAATTTCATAATTTGTGGGACATTAAATGCATGAGTTAAATCACTTAAATAATGTTAAGGACCTCGATCAAAATATTTAAACAAATAAGGTTTCAGTCTAATAATTAAGTTGATTAGAGAACGGAACCAAAATGACCCAAAGAATAATGATAAGATAATAAGAATACGGATGATGAATTATGTGATTTGTTCACTTTCGTACTTTAGTATTTTATACAAGCGATGTTGCGGGGGAAGAAATGTGAATTCAAAATTATGGAAACAATAATTTATGATCATCTTGTAGCATTATTTGCACAGAAAACCGTTAAAATTTTGGTGCTGTCATGCATAGTTAATAGTTTTCCTTTTGTTCTCGACAAATATCAATTGATTCTCGCACACAAAACTATATTGCTCTTAATTTGTTGGCTACAGTGCAGGTGCAGGTCTATGCATATCAGTCCATATCATATATATATATATATATATATATATATATATATATGATATGTATAAATAATGCAAATATATGCAACGAATTGTAACTTTTTAATCGCAATTTTTGGCTCGTTTTGCATGCATGGCAATATATATATTTTTTTCTTTTGTAATTTCTGTGACAACTATGAGTGAATAAGATATAGACACTTGGAAGTACGACCTCGAAGACCTTCTTGATTAGCCGTCCTTTTGTGCTTACATTAAATTTCATGTTCTCGTGAACTTTGAGTCCTCCCGTGATCTCCATCTCCATGCGCAGCCAGATATTGATTAGGGTTTCATTTCTTTCTTTTCGATTAATTATTAATTTTGAGAAAATGTTTAGATCATTCACCAACGCATCAAAAATTTCATGCATAACGCCACATGAAAGTTTTCATGCAACACCTAATTTTATTATATTATATTACTTTCATTAAAGATTAATTTTCACCATTGTGGCTTGAAGACAAAAAGTTAATGTTAGGAAGATTAAATTTTTAATTAAATTTTGTAAATTAAATGACATGGGAGTTAATGATTGGATTATTACTTAAGTGTTAATTAACATATTTATTTCTTATTAGCGATACATTATTTTGTTTGCAAGTTTAGTTTACCTAATATTACCTAAGACAAATAATATGAGATGATCAAAAAGCACTTTTTCGCATCACATAAATTATGTTTTGCTGCCCGTTTGAACTCGGAAGCTTCATGGTTGATTTTATATTTTGGAGCTGGTGGGTTTCGGAGGCCAATAGTACTGATGTACAATTTACAAGCATTAATCAGCAACACACAGTTAATTATGATCATGATATAAAAATATAGATAAATATGACCGTTAAAAAAGGGGCAAAATGTGTCTCTGTACAAACTTCAACATCAGTAACATCACCATCGAAATTACATGCTAGTTGCATAATGTGCAACAGTAATCAATAGGTCCTACAAATAGCAATCACCAGATTGAATTTAACTTGTAAGCAAAGGGTCACGGATCTTTCTAAGATTTGGAGCTGGCTAGCTAGCTCTACCTGTATATATATCATATGAATTACGATAATGATTAATGAAATAATTACAAAAACTTTCCCCATCGGGGTTTTCTCTTTGTTGTTGCTGCTACCACTTGGCCGGTAGGCCCTGCTGAATGCTTATGATGTTATAGGTATGGATGGTGGGCATTGTTAAGCATGTGAATATATATACACACACACATATATTTCCAGTTTGGATTATGTCCATGATCTCAATAAATTCTTAAAATATTTACCGAAGACAAAAGTGCCTTCGTCCCGACGTACCTCTTTGTTTGTATGCCTTTGAAACCCTTGGTTTATTATGGCCTACAAGAAGAAAAAAAAACCCTTATTGTAGCCACAATCACGGATCGATTTTGACAGCCGCTGATGAAGTTCCCCCCATACCGCCATTGTTTCTTTGGGGACAAGATCCCAGAGACTTTTCTCTGTTGCTTCTTCTCCCACTCTGACTTAGCATCTAATGCATGCATGCCAAGCCACAAGAGTCCAAGACCCTTAATCAAAGGCACGTATATATTGTACTCAAGTAATCGTATATACATAATGTGTGTGTATATATATATATATATATATATATATATATGTTTCCGTGGATATTTAAACCACGTAAACATTTCATTTAGAATTAATAATATATTGTAAGGAAATGATTTTCACATATTCTTTTTTCTTATTATTCACATCTTTATTTATTTGTGTTCACTGAATTCTCCTTATGATTGATGTAATTCGAAATTCATAAATAAACATGGATGCCGCAATAGGAGAAATTAAAAATGGGTGTTGGAAATTCACTTCTGTGTTTGCAAATAGGATTATGATATTGATAGTGAACAATGGACAAGACTACTGTGTTTGCACATGTGCATTCCTGTTGTGTAATCTGGAAATGCATCAGAATTCAGGCATGTTGTAAGTACCATCAGTACGACCGATCTAAGAATGTTCATGGCTGTTAAAATATGAAAGCTGCAATAAAGCCGATCAGTGTTAAAGCAAAAAAGAAAACTAAACGATAATTAAAAAAAAAAAAAAAACTTTAACGAAAAGCTCAATGTACTGTGTACTTTAACGAAAAATCACATTTTTACATTAAAAAGTCAATCATGATACTATTCACTTTACCCTTTATTTTATCCTTATCGTTAAAACTCAAAATTTTAAGTCATTTTCATTAATTTTTCTTAAAAAAAAAACCGAATGGTAAAAACTAAACAATAAATATAGTTTATTCCTTAAAATTAAGTTAAAACCAAGTTTCTCGACTCTTCTGTGCGGTCAATGAGCATGCATGGTATAGTTTTGCAGCTTTCAAAAATTCCAGTATCTCATTACTTCATTAATAAATGGCAACAATGCGACTAGAAATTATAAAAACATAACAAAAAATCGTGCGTCTGTTGTTTCTTGATCCATCTTGCGAATTCCAGTGATGTATGCACATCTGTGTGTATGAAAATTGTGAATCTAATAAATAAATACACATCCGTATTTGTTGTTTTGTACTAGGTGGCCATTTCTTGTGACTACTTAAATTGCAGAGAGTTGTCTATGTGTTCAATCTAATATTATATTTTTTAAAACCCTAACCCTAATCGATACATACGGCCTATACATCCTTATAAGTTTTGTTGCAACCCTAGCTGTGCTCTGCTTGCTGCCTAGCATTATTAGAATGGACCCAACCATCCGAAGTGAGGAGGACCAACCAAACGAATATACATATATATATGACACGACTCAACCACTGGCTAGTGGTAGTTGATATTACAAATTAGTCATATTCTCGGTGGCCCCTTTTCATCCACATTTGGAATTTCGGGCGTTTTGTTTTCCAATCATCATACAATAGGTCCAACCTCATCCAACCTCAAGATGCAAAATCTTCCATGGGCCATTGCCTCTTCTTTAGTACTAATAACTACTAATAACTAGTCTTCTAACTCGCGCTTTGTTAACGTTTGCGTGATTAGATTTTTTTTTACAATGTGTAGATCATTTATATTGAATAAATTCAACTTAACAGCTCATACATATTGTTATATGAGAGTATGAGACGTGAATACAAATGAAATAAGTGTAGATTACAATAAATAAATAGAGGACAAAAAAAAAACACAGTTTAGAATTGCTTGCTTTTCTTCAATCAATCACCATATAACACCTAGTAATTGTATAAAATTTCATCAAATATGTCGGCAGAAGGATCCCAATACTTTCATCAACCAGTCGGTGATTGTTTATTGCACACAGCTTCTACTTTTCATGTCGTTTCATTGCTGCAGAATAAGCTTTTGGTTCTAGTTGTTGGGTTCTGAATGTCATCTTGCCAATTAACAAATCAGAACTTCTGTTGGACCGGATTCGAATATCGGAGTGGTCCTCAATCGTCCTTGTCTGCAAATTAACTTTCTAATTGTCCCTATTCCAAAAACGAAACACATTTCATAGTTCATACCATTTCTGAATATAGTGATAATAATGGGCAAGGCTGAGGAACGGGGATTTGATTATCCCTGAAATTTGGTATAGGCCCAGGGGCAAGGTGCAAATTTGAACTTCTTTAGTTTCTAGTCTCGGATTGGTTAATCCTTAATCGCTTAGATTTAGGTATTGAGAGTCAAACTTTGGACAAAGTCTACTCTAAAGTACAATTATACACCTCAAATGATCAATCATGTCAATAAATGAAATCAAAGTCGAAAAATAAAGAGTGGAAGTGCGGTTTTTTCAATGCGTCAGTATCCTTAACAAAAGAGTGATCAATTTCATAACTATAATTCTATATAATAATATTCTGCGCAACTGCCCCTTAAACCTCCCTCCAATGGAAAGGGATCCTCCGGATCCTTTCCTCCTAATCCACCAAGTTCGGGGATCCGGACCATTGAAATTTAATCCAATGGCTAAAGTTATTGTAACTTTTAAAGTATGCCCTTGTTTACAGCCGTTTGATCAAATTTCAATGGTCCGGATCCCCGGACTTGGTGGATTAGGAGGAAGGGATCCGGAGAGGATCCCCTTCCCCCTCCAATAATCCTTTACATTACTAGAGAGCACTCTACAGGCTCATTACCCTGTTCAGTATACTATCAAACAGTTATTTAGTTATGTGCATATAGGGAACCAAATCATAGCTCAGTGTGCACAATATCCGCTGTAGTCAGATCTGCAAGCTCAGATTCAGATGTCTGACCGTTGATCGTGGAGTCTTTGTCATGGGAATTCAGACATTCTGCAGAAGGATGCACAATGCCATACCCGAAGCCTTGCGCAGAGTTGCAGTATGTTTCCACTTGGCCATCCTCCTTCTCTAAGTTGACGTCAGTCAGAACTATGTTCCTGCATGGAACTGTGTCACTGCAGGCAAATTTCATGGCCTTCGCACTCTTTGTGGTTCCATAAATGTTCTTGTACATGACTTGGGTTATTTGCACCGCTGATGTCTGGAATGTCATGACAAAGAAAAGCAATACATTCACAATTAACAGAAATTTGACAGAGTTCTGGTTATGATTGATTTAAGCTAAGCGTTGGGGAGTTTAAACTACAATCAGAGTCAAATGGATGAGAAATCAGTGGTGAAGGAAAGAAGAGATTTGGAGCATTACCAGATTTTGACAAGTTTTGGGGGAATCACAGTAAAACTGATCTATGATTATCGGGTTTGATACATTTTCCATCTTCACATTCTGGAAACGGACTCCACGAACATAACCAGAACCGCCCTATATGCAAATGCAAACAGTGAATGTTAACATAGGGGAAATCCATCTGCAACCCGAAAAATAAAACAAAGAAATCCAATTAATAGATTAAAAACCTGCCAAGTCTTAATCCTGAGGCCATTGGTCGTCTCCCTGAGGTATGCCGTATCCAAGACCACTTTTGTGACCATGGCAGTGGAGTTATCCTTCCCAAGACTTCCGATGCTAATTTTCAGAATTTCATGCCAACAAAGATAATGAGAACAACAATTTAAGTAGCCTGCTACGTATCTCTTTTGGGAGACATGACTACATGAGATACAAACTATAGGATTAGTCTACAACAAAAGTAGATGATACCTGATTCCATGTCCTGGTCCGCAAAAGATTCTTTTCATCTTAATTCCAGAGGTACCATTGACAATTGAGACGCAATCATCACCTGAATCAACAGGAAACACAATGTGTCATGTGATTGTGCGCCTTTCAAGAGTACTCAATTGTTTCCTTCGTATCCAATCAAAGGTTGGTTAATTTATGATATTCTTTGTTCATATAACCAATTTAGTCTTGTTTCATCCCAGTTCCTTCCTTTGGATTATGAAAAGTGATATGAGACATGATATTGAAGAGAGTTTGAGAACCTGTTCCAATTTTGCAGTCTTGGAGAATCACATTAGTAGACGCTGTGATATGGATTCCATCAGTGTTGGGACTGTCTCCTGGAGCCGAGACTTGTACTGCATTAACTCGCACCGCGTCACACTGAGAGATGACAAAATTCATCTGTTGGGCGTTCTTGATGGTGATGCCTTTTACCTTTATAGCTGAGCTTTTATCAATAGTAAATGCCTGCAATAAAAACTCAACTCAAATTCTATCCAGTGATCCTGGTACATATCATTTGAATAAATTCATTTTTGGATCAGAGGGAAAGGTACGTACAGTTGGTGCCCCTCTGCAAGGCTGTAGAAAAAGAAAGAGACAGAGAGGTAAATCAATATTCAGGTAAATCAATATCCAATACCAAATGGCCTAAATTTAAGTATTTGGATACAGTAGAAATGATAAAACGCTAAGATTTACATTTGTCTTGTTCGTTTTGCAGGATGCGGCCCACCATTTACTGCCTGAGCCATCAATAACGCCATGCCCTTGGAAAAGGACTCCATTCAGTTTAGTGAAATCAAGCCATGTTCGTGGAAAATTCGGATCCCAGTTACTAGGCTCATCTGGTGCTACTATAGTTCCTTCAATCTGTGCATTAGTCGTACCATTTACAAACAAGAACATTTCATAACATTGTAGAGCTATAGAGAGACGGAATATAAAGAGTTATCTTTGATGGTTAGAATGGAGATGGATTATAAAGAGCTATCTTTCAAAAAAATCAAGAAAGGTTTTACCTGGATGATCAAGTTATCCGTGCATGGCCCTTGAAATTTTGTAGCATTCACTAGATAATGGCGTCCTTGGGGTACCAAGAAAACTGCATTTGTTGTATTGCAAGCAATACCCCAGGCTTTCTGGAAAGCCTAAGAATAATGGTATTGTAAAAGAATTAAATGTCAACAAAAATGGTAAATAGTTTGGGTAAACGAATTTTTTTTCGTGGTTAAAATTGGCAAAGTTCAGACGTGCTAGAGCTGTGAATCCTCGTGTCTTTTTTGCAATAAATTAACTGCTGATCACAGTATGTTGTATAATTAATAATCTTTCAGTTTATTGGTATCAAAAGTTGAGTCTCAATATTTTGGCAAAATCTAGTCTTTAAAAGTGAGTTTAATTGTTCAACAAATGAAGTGCATTTGAATGAAAAAAAAAGAGTCACCTGAGTATCATCAGAAACTCCATCTCCAGCTGCGCCGAAGCTATCCACGTTAACAAGAGTCTTGCTACCACGTTCACTTTTCCATGTCGGGATGTCGAAAACATTCAGCTCATTGTCTTCCTCTATGTTAAAGCTTTCAAGCTCATGAAGCATGCTCATATTGTCACACACCATGTTTCCTGCAACTCCAAAAACCGCTATCAGCATACCAAAAACAAAAACCGCAAAGAGATTATCCATGCTTGTCTTTTCTGTTGTTTTGCAAGGTTAGTCGATTCGTATAATTTCAACGAACAATGGGTTACCATTTATACGTACAGATTAGTTTAAGAAATCCAAAGGGCTCTCAGGTTTAACATGGCTTGGCTTGAAAGTAGATGAAGATGTTACATTTTCTACAAGCCCACACTTAAAGCAAGGGAAAATCTTTGTTGTTTGCTTTACTCTTAAATCAGTGAACAAAATGAACCAGAAATAGTGTTTCACTCTGGCATTTGTTTCAGGATAAAAGGAAAGTAAAGGTAAATCAGCAAAGTGCAATACTTTCTGGATAAATCGAACTAATTTTTAAGGACAATTTGAATTTTCAAGGGTTGAAATAAAATGATTGGATGTACAGCTGCAGTCTGCCGTACAACAAAATCTAAAATGTTTTTTGTAAGAAAAGCAAAAGAAAAGGTCAACGAGTTAGTTAGACCAAACATAGAAGCATATTTTTATTGAGAAGATGTAAACCTCATGAGCAGGGGCCGGCCAGGTGAAAATTTAGCTGAAAGCATCATGCAGTGGAGACTGGAGAGAATTCCCGTAAGACTACTTGATTAGGACAACTCTCACACTATGTGGGATCCTGTTGAGTCAAGTGGAGTTGAGTGGGATTAAAATACAAGGGATCTCGTGTTTTCGTGAGAGGCGGTCTATGGAACCCCTGGCCAAGATTTTCTCCATACGGACCCACAGTGGGGTCAATGAAGAATCCGATCAGGTGGTTTCATCATTTGAAGATGCTAGTGGTGATGGTGACTGTTTACCTCGATCAAACTGTGACCCATCTCCCATTTCACTTTCCTTGCTATTGCAATTTCCCTGATTTGTATTGCAGTGTCAAACTCTCCAATTTCAGAATAAAAGTTTGAAGTTTGCAACCAAATGTCAGGATCTTCGACATCAAGCTCCAACAACAAAGTTTTTACCGTTCGTCTTCCGACTGTTTCGTTTTTGTGTACCCTACAACTGCGCAACAACGAGCTCCACATCACACAGTCCCCATTAACTGGTGCCTGCCGCAGCAAGTCTTCAGCTTCCTCTAGCATACCCGCCCGGCCTAAGAGATCAACCATGCACGAAAAATGCTTTCTGTCCGGAGAAATATCATATAGTTTTTTCATTGAATCAAACACAAATCTTGCTTCTTTGACCAGTCCTGAATGGTTGCACCCACTTAACACACCCAAGATTGTCACTTTATCAGGTTTCAGACCCTTTAAGATCATTTCTTGAAGCAAATCAAGACCTTCACTTCCCATTCCATTTCGTGCATATCCATGGATTATCGACGTAAAACAAATGACATTCAGTGAAGGTAATTGTTCGAAAACTTGTCGAGAAAGCTTGACATGGCCACACCTTGCATAGGCATCGATTAGTGAACACGAAACCGCAATATCAGATTCAAAACCTGATTTTATTGCACAACAGTGTACCAATTTGCAGCTGCCCAAACTTGCTAAAGCAGATATCGATAAGGCTTTCAGGGTCGTGGATAGAGTAACTTCATCAATACCAATTCCCTCATCAACCATCAAACCAAACATTTCCACCACATCCTCAATAAAACCGCAATGCAACAAAGAGGTCATCAAAGAATTACAAGACACCAACGTTTTCTCACCAACACTTTCATAAATGGACACAGAACTTTCGATGTCAACGCATTTCCCGTACATATCTATTAGAGCAGATTGAACATGAACACTCCCACCGTGACCAAAACCCGACTTCAAAACATAAGAGTGCATCTGCTTTCCAAGTTCAATATTCTCAGTCCTACTCGCTAAATTCAAAAACCCTACAAACGAACGAATCGATGGCCTCTTCTCCCAAAACTGCATCTCAACAAATAACTTAAGAGCATCAAGCAGCAAACCATTTTCTGCGCAGACCCAGATAATTGAATTCCATGAAATCACATCCTCCATTTGAATAGCTTCAAATGCTTCTTTTGCATCAATCAAGCTCCCACAAGCAGAGTACAAATCCACCAGAGCATTCGCAACAAATACATTCGATTCCACCCATCTGTCCTTAACAATGCGGCAATGTAGCTGCTTTCCTTCATCCAAGAGCCTCCCATTACTACATCCGCGGATCAAATAACAGTAAGTAAGCCCATTTGGATCCACACCATCCAATTCCATCTTGGAAAACACACCAAATAGCTCATCCAACAGACCAAGTTCACAAAACCCACGTAACAACAAATTCCAAACAGCTAAGTTTCGGTCCGGCAATTCATCAAACAGCTTCAAAGCTACATTATCCAGTCCCGTATGCAAATAAAGATCCACAAGGGAGCTCCCCACATACAAATTCAAGCCGAACCCAAGTGAGACAACCCTGCAATGAACTTGCATTCCTTCTCTACAAAACCCTGCGTCGTTACAAACACCCAAAACCGACGAAAAAGTCGACGCACTTTCTCTAATTCCTTGTGAAACCATTTCAGCGTAAAAGTGAAAAGCCTGTTCCGGAAATCCATGTCGGCCGTGCCCAGAAATCAGCATGTTATATGTAACAACATCGTATACAGGCATTTCATCGAACAGTTTGAGGGCAGTGTTCAAGTCCCCGGCTTTAATCAAACCATCGATTTTTAGGTTGTTGGAGTATACAAGGTCACGAGCACTGGTTTCAAAGTACGAGTTCAAACGCAGAGATGACGAGGTTGATGAAGCTGTGGCTACCTTAAAGTTTGTACTGAAACGTACGGAAGACAGTAACCTAGTAATCCGCATTGGCCATGCGCCTCTCCAAAGTGAAACTGACAACATTTGATATATCCAATATTCTCGGGTTCGTATTAATCATTGACCAAATTCATTACCCTCTCCGTCGTTCTGTCGTATTTTCTGCCATGTTTTAAACGACTGCTAAGAGTGAAATTGACGATATTCTAAACCATCAATATTGCAAACTATTATATCAAAAAGAGAAATTGACGTCGTTTTGGACCAAGTCTTTTAAAATTTTTTTTTTTTTTTCTTCGCGGTTGTCTTCTTCTCGAAGACTCCACCACTGCAACAGAAAAAAAAAACCCAGAGGGAAGAGCCTCAGAGGCCCAACCTTTGACTTCCAGAGGTCCGTAGAAAATTTTAAGTAAGGATTTCAGATGTCTAGGCACGCCTCAACCACGTCTAGGCGAGTTTTCACCTAGTCTCATTGAATAGAGACGTTTTCACCCCTGCCCCATCTCAAAAGCCGCCTAGGCGCGGCTCGGGCTATGTTTTTTATAATATTGGTTTGCATACAGACATTCTCTGACCTAAAAACTTGTAATGAAGCCCAAACAACACATTTTTAATACTTTGCTTTGCTTGCAAATTGCACTTTATTAATTTGATTCCTACAAGACACATTTCTTCCAGCCACAACCACTTGAAAAGTTGAAATTAATATTTCTCATTTCAATCCAACTTGAAATATGCAAATGAACACCCATGAAATATTTGGAGAAAGGAAGAAGTAGAAAAAAACTGCGAGCAAATCTTCGAACCATCACAAGACAGAGATGAACATTCTTACACATTGACGACGCCGCCTCCCGGATAATAGGAGAGCCATTTTCCTCACCAAAAACAAAACAGCAAACAAGCCCATACAAACTGTTCTACAATTATAATGATCTTGACACCATTGATTTACATTTAGCAGCAAATGGCAAAAAACACAAGCAGCTTTCACATCACTAACATGTAGCTGCAATGGCCTCCAAGAGGGAGGCCACAAAGCGCATCTGAGTTTCTTCATCGATTCTGGAAAAGAGAGGGACGTGGACAAATAAAGATTTGTGACCCTTTTCTTCTGCAAAACGGAGGGAATGATAGTAGACATAATTGCACACGAAACGTCCAGCATCATCTGATATTGCCACATCATATCCTCGATTCTTCAAGATCTTAAGGATTGCCTCGATCGAGCAACATGTCTTCAAGAACCAAATGGCGGAAAAGTCAGACACGCGAGAGAGAAGTGGAAAGAGAGGACTACATGAGCATGATAAATAGTTTCTTGGATGACGACACATTATGCCAAGTCCAGTATAAGTGATTCAATCAAAACTTAAAAGAAGACGGACCATTAATTTGTTTATATGCAACAAAACATCCTAAGCAGCAGTTCCCCTTTCAGTTTCAATTAGAATTAATAGGAATCGATCACGAGACTTTGTCCACAACTCATCTAACAATTTATTGATTGGGAAACTAAGCACACCAATATGTGACATTATCATTGCATTCCACGTAAACCAATGCCAAACCCTGCAACATTGAAGGCTTGAAGCCTTTCCCTCGGTTGCTTATATAAGAAAACGCAGCAATTCTGCAAAATGTTAACTCAGCACAAAGTGAAAACTATACATTGAACTCCGACCCTAAGTATTTGGTACCCGACACTGACAGCATATCATAGTTCTATAAAAACGATAAATTGTGTTTTACGAATATATAAATACAGTATTGCAAATAGATTATACAAATACCTCTCTTGCTCGTGTAATTCCTCCATCCTCAGGGACTATTAGTCGTTGCTGGAAGAAGAGCAATAAAAGAAAACTAAGTTCAACAACTTCAAGATAATAGGAACCCTGGTAAAGTAAAATAAAGAAACAGCACTAAAATAGGAAGAATCAGACTCACCTGAGGTTGCCATCCTAACTCATCTGGACAGCGGAAAGTGGCTTCATTTACTGCTTGCCGCTCAACAGAAAATCTTACAGCCCCACTATTCACCCCCAGGTGAAGCTGAAGAAGTAATGAAAGTAAAACTATTATAACAACATACAGAAGACTGCCGATAACTTATGTTTCTGCATAAAAATGTCTATTGGAATCTGTTCACACAAATTCATGAAAACGTTTGTCTGCAAAGCAACAAAACCTGACAAGAAGCCTCTAGTGAGACACAAAAAGTTTATGGCAAGTTAGGAACCAAGATAGTGCGTTGTGTGTTTCGCAAGATCAACTAAGCAATCAGTGATCAAAATGTCTTGTCAGTCCTCACAGTAGTAATCAAGGGTAACATGATGAACTATGAAGCAAAAGGGGACCTTCTAAGTCAATAGATGCATGAAATTATAGTGCAAGTTAGAACAATAACTTTTTTCAAATTTAGAACAACACTATTTACTAACCAAAAGAATGCGGATGCTTCTTTCATTTCTAGCAATTAAAACCCTGAAAACAAAACAAAATTTTGCAACTCTAAAGGAGACACTCACCCATACAACTTGTTCATTGCCGTTAGAACCGGTTGCTGAAATCCCCGATTCCATGGCCTTGTAAAGAGCGGGGCGCGCGCCGTCTCCCGCTGTTTCAAGAACATCACAGTTGCCAAGTTTAAGACCAGCAGACAACCCTCTCTTCTCAACAAACCCCACCAGATTGCTAACTATAATCTCTGTGGGATTCTCAGCAACCCCCAGGAACTTCTTGAACCCACTCACATGAACCACCACTCTCTTTGGTCCTTCTGATCCCATTTCCTCACTCTGCACCTGAATACAATTCCCAATCCTCGATAAACTCCGCTGTCAAAACACCAAATTCAAATTTTTCAAAAACCCAACTTTTCTTTTCGAATAAAGTTGCAGTCTTTTTGGTCAAAGAAGAGAACCCAGCAAAGATTCTGAGATAATCAAGCTAGTTTACTGGTGATTTAAGCATCAAACACCACATTTTCACTTGAATATAACGAAAAATGCATGCTTTTACAGCCAAAAATGGGAATTAAGCCTTGGAACTCTCAGTTGACCGATTAAAATTTTATTACAAAAACACACAAGAATTCACAATTTAAAAGCTAAACGGATTAAAGAAATACATTTGCAGAGTTGGGTTGAAAGCAGACCTTAGAAATTCAGGACGGAACTCTCCAGTCCGTGGAGAATTTGAAGAAGGAAAAATGCCGCTCTCAAGCTGAAGAAAGCAGCTGGTTTTGGTCTCTTATTCTTTCTTCGGCCTTTTGCTTTGCTTGCTGGTGCCGGAGGCTAATTATATAACCATTTGGCCGTTAGTCTTTTACGAAAATGCCATGAAAGTCTGCCTCATCCCCTCTATCAGGCGGTCGAATGCGTCATATCCTTTCATTTTACATCAAGCCGTCCTTGGTCCATTTATGTGTTCAGTCATGTCAATTGTCAACGGAATATTCAACTCTGCATGCCCAAAGCATCGCAAGAAGTCGACTGAGCAATCCTCACGCAATTAAGGCACTCATGTCGCCGAGCGATAACGTAGAGAAGGCAGTGCCGGTCAATTTATGCGTGCTCGCTGACCCACTTGATGCCAGCACTCAAATAAACTCCTCCAAATATGTCACGTGGCGAACATATAATAATGTATCTTTTAAATACTTGACGATTGTGACGTCAGTAAATTTTTTTTAACAATAATATTTCTCTTACCAACTAACGTTTTAAGTACTTACCAACAATATTTCGTAAAAGTCGGCATCAGAGAGTACTTGATCAACTGTCGTTGTCATAACATTTGCTTTCTTTTGCACGCACTTAAACCCTTTGACAACCTCAAAGGGAAAAGGATAATACAAGAGCCAAGGTATTTCTTTCGGTGGTATTTAGAAACAAGATATGATGTGTTGTTTCATTACTGATCCAAGCCATTGAGTAAGAATATAGGTTTGTCACCAATGAAGACACAAATTCTTCGGTTTGTTGATTTTCATGTATTGTTTGGTTTTAGAATTGACTTGGATTGGATGGCTCATTGAAATGTTTGAAACGCAATAAGAAACATATAAGCAAACTAATTAACCAATTAATAAAACAAAAATCAATCAAATTTGGATGTGGTACGTTATTTACTGGATAACTGATACAAGGCGCCACGTTGTTTACGATTAATCTTTTTTTTCTTTTTTGAACAAGCGATATTATTTACTAAAATAGAAAGGTAAACTTAACCTCATAATGGACTAAAATAGAGAGGTAGACTTAGCATTTGACGAGAATCAAATATAAAACCTCTCATTTATAAGTGAAGAAGAACACCATGAAATTGTAGCATTAAGTGAAGATTAATTTTTAAGTATGAGGGTGCTTCATCTAACAGGTATACTCTTTCTTACTATCTGGTAACGTGGCATCCTTTGAGTTGAGTTGAGCTGGGTAAATGAATGTCTACCAGATCCGACCCGTCTGATGGCAAGACACGGAAACAAAACGACGTTGAGCACTTCGTCGTTTGATTTCGGTAGACTTTTAAAATGTAGAAGCTCAGAGCAAACAGACGACAAGTCATTGAGGTGAAGCGATTGAGAAGAAGAAAATGGGGAAGATTCCGGTAAAGATGAGAGCAGTGGTGTACGCGCTGTCGCCGTTTCAGCAGAAGGTGATGCCCGGCCTCTGGAAGGACTTCACCGGAAAGATCCACCACAAGGTCTCCGAGAACTGGCTCAGCGCCACCCTCCTCCTCACTCCTCTGGTCGCCACCTACTCGTAAGTCTTCGATCTAAAAATTAGGGTTAGGGTTTTTCGATTATGTTCCTAAATTAGTAATTGATGGTATTGGAGTTCAATTGTTACTGGATTTTGAAGTGGGTCGTGCGTATTTGTGGTGAATTGTTGAAATTTATGGTCAAGATGTTGGATTTAGGGCTGATTGGATTTGGGGGTTGTGAACATTTTGGTGGATTAGTCGATGATTTGCGTTTTGATTTGGTGGGATTTGCAGGTATGTGCAGTATTACCAGGAGCAGGAGAAGTTGGAACACAGGTACTGAAGATTTGGGCTTTGATTTGAGCTGAAAAGATTGGGAATTTTTCTTGTTAGCTGCAATGATAGACTGTACTCTGATTGCAATTACACTAGTTGAAATTTGAATGTTTTGTGTTGAAATTAAATGACGGTGACCCTGAAATGAAGAAGGGTTTGAGTTTTATTGTTCTGGAAACAAGTTTGTAATTTGTTAATCAGATGGTTGAAGTTGATATACAAATTCAATCTGCGTAATAAATTGAGATTGCAGTATCTGTTTCATTTATTACCGAAGCAAAATCCTCGCATCATTCGATATAGGTGCAGGATTGATGCTGGTGCTTGGTCCTCTGCTAGTAGATTTTAACCTCTTGATAAGGAGCACTTATATGGAACAGGTTCAACGCTACCGTGACACCTTGGTCCAATAATATCATGCCATATGTAATTAGTGGACTGGAATGCCACGTGGTGGTGAACTCGTTTCATACAAGTTGCTTTCCTTGATGCAAGTTTTGAGGCCATTAAACTACATTATCTGCTGCATTATGATTTGCAGGTGAATTTGTTTGATGAAACATGTATGTAAGGACATTGAAAAATCAATCGTATCATTGTTATGTGCAAGTCTAAATGCCATAGCTGCTTGAGAAGAACAATCACCTAGTGCAGCTTATTACAATTCGAAGCCTGTACCACCGGAGTTTCTCCTCTATCCAGGCCAAAAGTCATTAATCTGCCATATGAAAATGGTTTTGCAATGTGGTGCCGTGGTCGCACTGCGTAGCTTCCAATTAACGACTGCGGTCCTCATCCGCTTCCTCATCTCTCGCTCCGATAAGACTCCGGAAACGCGCTTGACAACAGCAAGTTCTTCATCCTAACTATGAAAGCAAAGACGCTGTAGCATGGGAGATGCATCAATCCAACTCCAATATACCTGCAAGGTTGGCGACAATGATAAAGTGAGTTGTGATAGAGCTGGATCCGTTTCAAACGAGTGGCAATATACATGCAGTCCAGTTTCTGCAATATTCGTTCGTCGAGGTCAAAAAAAACATACCACAAGGGAGCGTACGAGGATGACAGGTCGAGAAATGAATAAGGCCACCTGCAACGAAGTTATCATGTGAGCAATAGTTAAACTTCTTCAATCTCAAACGAAAGTAATTCGAAATGCAGTTTTACCGCATGGATATGAAAGCATGGAATATCCACTGGAAAATCACGAACACGTTCGTCCAAAGCACAAAATATGCAAATCGAAACAATGGAAACCGCTGAAAGGAGGAAAAAGAGAGAAGATTTTAAGCTTTAATCATGAAAACAAACTAGCAGATGCCGTTGAAATGGACAAGGAACCGAACATACCATGTTATTCAAAACTGCGTCGCCAAGGAGGAAAACGGCATTGACTGAGTGCATACTGACCAGCATCTGCAGTTGAACGAAGAGCAGACGCGTCAAATAAAAGCCGTTCAGCACTGGAAATTAGAACAGCAACTCAAATCTAGTCACAATGTATAGAAGAAACCTTATTCAATGAAAATAGCAACCTCGTACTTACAAAATCCAGTGTGTTAGATTTGGACAGAATGAGCCAAAATACGCAATCAGTGAGAACCGCAGCACCTCCACACATCTATACACATGAACAAAGAGAAGGAAATAACCAGGTTGAGATAACAGAAACTCAGACATTACCTAACTTTAAGAATCCAAGTCCTGATTTAACCAGATCTGCAGCTGCTAATTGGAGAAAACCTACCTGATAAATAATTTGAAAGATGTATTCGCATGCACCTGCACCTTTGCGCCCGGGATATTTTTCATGCGTAAGACTTTTAGATCCGCTGGACGTATTGCCACTCTCCCCTAGTGTTGGAGCAACATAAGCGCCTCGCTCTTCATCCTCACCAATCCTATTGCGATGCTTATAAATTCCGCAAAGCGAGACAGAAGATCCAAACTATAAAATGTGTTCAGAACATATGAAAACCAAGGACAACGTGATTCAAGGAAACCAAAGCGTAATGGCTCTCATTGTTCATCAATCACAATGAGCATCTTCGAGTAGGAAGATTGAACCGAGCGGTTGAAGGTACAAAAACGAACTACATTTTATATTTACAGTATACTACAACGTAAAACATACCCCGAAATAGAATGTGACCAAGGCAAACGTCCACCTGTTAAGCACAATAGGGCAACAGAGTACATCAGCATATAGAGCGTTGCACATATACAATTAACACAATAAGATTCAAATTTGTGCGCATCCGCTCGAAGATGAAAAATGCAAACAGATAAGAGAGCTTACTGAGTGTAATAGTAAAAGATGCCGCCCCCGTCAAGAGCAACATTGGCAACTATCAACCCCAACATCACGAAGAAAGCGATTATTCTATAAGCAAGTAGCCACGCGGGATGAATTCCCTTAAGGCACGTCTTCCAGACTTCACCCTCGTACAAACTCCCTACCGTTTCTCGCTGATCTTCTGTCCTCCTGCCCTTCCTTGATTTTTTGAAACCTTCGTATTTCCATATAAGAATTGAGGCTACAACCATAGTAGATAAGATCCATATTGCACAAATGAGAAACCTCCAATTCAACCAATAACTCGGATCGGTCGTATCCGCAGTCATGACGGGTTGCCTAGTACGGTTCGATGAACCTGTGAAGAAACTCGTAGCTTGTGAGTTTCACTCGCACTTGCCTCGCTAATTATGTTATCTAATTTGTATTCAAATTTGTCGCAGAAATTGGAATAACATAATTGCTCAAATCAGAGAGCATGGAAGAAACCATAACAACCCTGCAAATTCTTGTGACAAAAACCTAGTAACAGTTTACATGTCGAACGTTAACAAACAAACAAACAAAAAACATCGTACAAATCAGATAACGATTGGACAGAAGTTTGAACTACAAATGAAGGAACACAAAAAACTGCAGTACGAAAGGAGCATAATTTAGAAGCTGAAGAATTAATCCAAGTACAAATGCAGGAGAAAACAAAGTAATGAGCAGAGCATTTTCATGGTTGAATTCCTTACTTTCTGGAGGACTGGATTGGATTGGATTGGAATCGGAAGATCGAAAAGAAGACGGAACTTTTCCTCTTCGGGTCTGAAGACTCAGAACACGAAAGATCGAAAAGAAGACGGAACTTTTCCTCTTCGGGTCTGAATACTCAGAACACAAAGTCAACGGGCTCGGCTACTGTTTTTTAGTTATATTCAAATTCGTGTGGGATTAGGTGGTGCTACGTTCCAATTTTCCTCAACAACTGCACCACTCAAAATAATCCACGTGGTTCTCGTGCCAAATCAGAATGCTAAATTGGTGTATTATAATATATTATAAGAAAAATACTATAGTACATATGGTATTGTTTATGGTAAAGGAGGGACTACGTATGTTGTAAATTTAAAATTATAATTTGAATAGATTGATAAAATTACGTGGTAGAACAACTTTTTTTTACGATTTCTTGTTGATTTTAGCTAATATTTGACTATGAAGAGAATATTTTATAATGGCAAATTAATGTGGAACGAGGTTGATTAGTAAGACCAAATACACGTAAATTATATATTTTTATGAAAAGTGTCTTCTCAGATAACGTGATTACTTATGAAATAAAAAAAGATCAATTCAATCAAGCAAATGATATTTGGTAAATAAGCTAAATAAAATTTATATAGCCAACGGCCAATGTATGAATATTAATGATACAAAGCTTTTCCATACGCTTGTCAGTCGTTGTCAAACAAATCTTAGTAGACAGTTGTGAGGATTTGGACAACTAAAACAAATTTTATTAGATAGTTGCAGAATGTGAGTAGCCGGTAGACTAGATACTAAAAGGGACTAAATACTAACAATGTGGAAACCATAAATCACAGGTAATGACCCAAGGGGATTGAATCACTCTCATAAAATTCATCATCCTTACTCTCATTATCGTAATCATTGTCACCATAGTCGTCATATTCGCTATAAGGATCCAGTTGTGGATCTTCTTCATACATTTTGACTGAGCTGCTGCAACCGTCTTCGCTGGATACGATTAGCGCCGGATCGGAGTGCTCTGTCGCCTGCAAAACACTGTCGAATTCCTTGACCTTCTTCAAGAGAGCATCAGGATCAAGGATAAGTTAATCCAGCAGCAGTGCTTTGTTGGAGTCGACCGAGCGTTTCGAGAGAGACATCATTTTGGAGCTTGATGATAGAATATCAAAACCATCTGGTTCCGAAGGCGACGGTGCTGATTGGTACATTGATATCCCATATGAACCCCTCCTCATTGATATCCGTTCGTCATCAAAAGAAAGCAGCACGCAAGGAACCAATTCCTGTAAACAAAGTGGAGATTGAAAAGGTTAGGAAATTGCAGAATGTAAGTGGTACCCGGCACTTATACAATGCAATTCATCTTGCCGTGCGAGAGGAAAGCTCACGTCAGGCGTTCTTGAGGTCTTTGGTTCAATTCAAGCAAAGAAAGGACACACTAGACTGTTCCATCGTGCTTCTCTCTCTAGGGGTGAAAGCCTTCTTAACCGAAGTTTACTCTACTTCTTTTGGCGAGTTACTTGTATTAAAAAAATAAGCAAGCCTAATTCCCCCTTAGGCAACAAAATATTAACTTAAGGAGAAAAATATTTACTTGTTATATTATTGGTAATTACCTGAACCTTAATCTCAAGACGTTCTCCGAATCTATCATAGATTTTATCAAGATAGGTAAATGGTAAAAAAAACATTATGATACTTTGAGCGGGGAATTCCCATTCCGAACGACACCTCTTTTGGCGCCGTATCTTTATATGAGACCACATGAACTGTAATGCTCCTGCACCGCAGCAAATAATTAGCACAGGCGTTGCCCCAAAAACCCTAGCCTCCGGATACTATATAAGCTAAGCCCCTCCATTTTTTACTTCCCAGACCCCTTTTCACTCTGCACCCTTGCGCCTCCCCGCTCCTCCCCTGCGATCCTGAGCCCCCCCAACCATGCAGATCTTCGTGAAAACCCTAACGGGTAAGACCATCACCCTAGAGGTCGAGTCCTCCGACACCATCGACAATGTCAAGGCCAAGATCCAAGACAAGGAAGGCATTCCGCCGGACCAGCAGCGCCTCATCTTCGCCGGCAAGCAGCTCGAGGACGCCGTACCCTCGCCGACTACAACATCCAGAAGGAGTCCACCCTCCACCTGGTGCTCCGCCTCCGCGGTGGCGCAAAGAAGAGGAAGAAGAAGACCTACAC